TGCTATACTAGAAATTTTTTCCTAAGAAATACTTTAATAAATATATAGTTTTAAGTAAATGAAATTATTTTTAAAGCAGTAACAACAAATTATTCACCAAAAGAGAAGCTTTTTATGTCCCTCTCTGGAACGCGGCGTAAATTTAAGTTTTACGTCAGGACTTATTGAAACCTCCTTGGAGACAGTAAACTTTTATACGGATAGTTCATTCAGCTTGAATACTTCAATTAATCATTTATTATAACATTTCTATCATAAATGAGTGAAAGTTACCCCAAAATTTTTATTTATTGGCCTATAAAGTAGAAATTTTGAGGAAATGAGAGGTATAAATGGACCAAAAGAGACCTTATAAGGAAGACAAAGAGGTCCATTGGTAGTATTTATCATCCTAAAGTCATCTTTTGTATCATATTCAACTGTTTGTAGGCAGATGAGATAAATATTTGATCATTTATTGGTCCACACTATATTCTATCATGATGCGGCTTGGTTTGGATTTTTCGAAGAAATTTTGCTCGAATCGCTGCAGATGTCGTCTTACATTATACTAGATTTTTCTCAAACTATTGAACTGATTATGACAAAACTTGACAGGAATGCTTGAAATAACCAGTATAACAAAGGAAAAAAGTCACATTCAGTTTATTTAACAAAAAAGTCTTCTTTAGGTGTAATACCACCAAATCATAGTACGTCACATCCGGTTGCATACGAAAATAGGTCGAAAAAAAATATTCCCTTGAATTTGACAGTTGTAGGTAATTGATCCTACATTTCATTGCAGTAAAACATTTCTGGGTCATAAACATATATCTTGGGTATTTCAAAGCACCATTATTTTTTTATTTGGGGTTTCTATAGAATATTTTGGAAACTTGAGGTTACATGGTTACTAAAGCTTGTATACAGGTTAAAAAAGGGGGAAAATTTGATTGGTTAACTTCCAGTGATGGTTATTTTCTTATATGCAATGAAATGTTATGTGAAATTTTTTCTATAGTACTGGACAGGATCAAACTTTACTCATGCCAAGTATTTCTTTATTTGAAACAAAGATAAATTCTGCACAATTTTTTGAAAAGTGCAAATTTAACAAAGACTAATAGGGGAAAATCAATGGTGGTATTACACCTTAATAACGGAAATAAATATATATTTTCTATCACAACTAACAATCAATAAAACAATGGAAATTAATCATTCAGGATATACAGTTCATCATTATGAATCAATTAATTTCCCTAAAATCAAAATTGATAAATTTCCCTATTTGTGGAGTTTATGTTTGTTCAAACTTTAACAAAATTAAATGAATTTCACAATTTTTCTAAAGAAATTGTTCATTTATTTGATGCAATACATCGATTTGCTAACCTTTGATAATAAATGAGCAGTGTTAATTTTTAAAATGATATGACAAATGTTTGTTATATTTGTTGAATTTCCTTTGTTTATAGAATATCGCAATAAAGTAAGTTCTCCAAATATTGATACAAGATTTACATTCAATTAACATTAATAGTTATAAAAAGTACCACAACTATAATTTAGTACGCCAGACGCGCGTTTCGTCTACATAAGACTCATCCGTTGCAGTCATCCAGTGTATGCAATTTCGTCCGTGTAGAGTTACGCCAAACATTTGTCATTTTATTTATAAAGATAAATTTGCAAATCGAGAGCAAATTTCGATGTTATAATGATTTTTTTTTTTTACTTTTTTCGAAGAAAAATAGAAAGCTTTATAAATGTGAAATAAATATGCCCCTGCTTGAACACTCTCGTCTTTCAATGGGTTGCAATTAAAATTTTAATATTTGACACGCATCGGTACAATAAACACATATGGTTTATACTCTAAATATACATACTATTCTCGGTTTTATATAGATTATACCGTTGGTTTTCCCGTTTGAATGGTTTGACACTGTCACTTTTGGGACCCTTTATAGCTTTGTGTTCGGTGAGAGCCAAGGCTCCGTGTTGTTGACCGTACTTTGACCTATAATGGTTTACTTTTACAAATTGTGATTTGAATGGGGAGTTGTCTCATTGACACTCATACCACATCTTCTTATATCTATAGACAATCGCATAGTATAAGTTGGTAGATTCGAGGTTAAGATGCATGAGCTATAGAGTTAGAAATAGAGACTTGCCGGTTTATGATTCGAATTCCTGTTTTCTCTTTGTTTTCCCCATTCTTTACTTTTTCCGTGTTTTCTTTCTATGTATTTAAATTTTTATATTTCATAAAAATAGCGGATTTCATGTTTAATTTTTGATTATAATGGGTCAATTCACGTATTTGAAAAAGCATAATGATAAAATTCAATTTGATCATTTTTGTTTTATATATTTAGTATAATCTCATCTGTTTCACTACATATATTTACAAGTGTTTATTTGCAAATACCTATACGAGTAAATAGTGATGTGAATAGAATAAAGATTTAAAGAAATTTCGGTAACATACTTATCATATATACTAAAAATGAGTTCTAATATGTCTTATTTCGTAAATTACGGATAATATTCAGATACATATTAATTTGAAGACAGACGTTTTGTGTTGTGTTATATTTATATTTGTATTTTTCTAACCAATTAATTGTGACCTTTGTATCGTTGAACATACATGACAAGAGGGTTATTCATTCTCACTAACATATCCGTCTTATTAAGGAAAAGGTTTTCATTTTGAAAAGACATCAACACAGTAGTTTAAGTTATAACAGTTGTGAAATCATATAAAATTCAAATTTATGGAAATATCTGAGACAGTTCGTTCAGTGTAACACGACTAGTACAGATAACTTACGATCAAAGTGAAAGCTAAGAAAATATAGCTTTTGCTAAAAAGATTTTGCCTTACAAATGTCCTTTTTCGAACGACACTAATTTAATCTTTTGTAAGCACAGCGTACGTTTGGTATTTGTTATTAAAAGCCTTTCATTTTAATAATTTTTAGTGTGTAATAATAATTTTTTACAAAAGCAATACAGCTTATAGGATACATACACATAATTTTACATGCACCAATATAATAACTTTTACAAGAGATATATAATATATCTGAAAATATAGAGGAGCGCATGAAAGAAAATATAATACATAATACAAAATACAAATTACGAAATACGAGCGGAGAACGGTATAATACTTAAATAAGTATACTATATAATGCAAATAAATTCTAAGTTTTTCTGCTGATTTCAAAAATATACCTAAGTTATTTTTTTTTATATACTTTTTTCGAATTTGACTATATTTTTTACATTCAAGTATAAAATGGTATTCATCTTCAATAGAGCTAGTATTACAATTTGTACATAGTCTATTATTGTTATCAACATTATAATATCTGCCTGTTTCTATGCTTAATATATGAGCTGATATACGATATTTACAAATGTATGGTTTGTATATATAATTTACAGATATATCTAAATAAAATTGCAATGCGTGTGTACTATACATGTATCTATACATATGACATTTATTTGAATTCTCAAAAAAACACAGTTACTTCAGTAATGAATGCACCAAGCATTATATATATATATATATATATATATATATATATATGTTTGAATATTATAAAAATTGCGGAAATGTTACAGATAATGATTGCAAGGGTATTTTCGATCAGTGAGAACGGAAATCATTTAAACCTATTCTATATGAACCATTATATATCTATAAAATCAACTTCAAGTGTATTTTAATTTCCGCGTGTATTGATCATATTTTGTCATTACAACAAAGAAGAATTTGAATGGGGATGTGAGTAAATATAACTTATAAATGTAATCTTTATGCATATTTCATTTGTCAGCAATATCATTTGCATTCTGTGCAATCTATAATTTTGATTTGTATATGTGATTATCAAATAGATATATTTATGTAAAACTTAGAGTTTTCATACCTCTAAGTTCCTTTTAAGATATGAGTTGAAAAACCTGATACATTGTAGTATGAAAGAACTGTACCTTAAGATACGAATATTTGTCCACATACCAATGCAAACTGGTGGACATGGTCTATTAAACCGCACAACATCCATGAGTATGTGTTTTTTTAATCAGTTAAGGCGTACATTTGAATTAATGTCAAATTTAAGTAATACTAACTTGAAAGCAACCAAACGACATTAAACAAGAAATGAATCAAGTCAACAATTTTTGTTCCACAATGGACATTATAGTGTCCATATAAAATTCTATATGCAATTTTTTGAAAATAAAAAAAGCCTATTAACGGTTAGCATTAAATTGGTAAGAGACCACTAAAGATTGACTATCAATATCAGATTTTCTAAATGACAACAGCATTAAGATAAAACCAACAATACCAGAAACGAAGTTCTTGATTTAATTAATTTCTTTGGATCCCAAATCCCCGTTTTAAAATTGATCAGTATATTGCATGTGCCAAATGTCAAGTGGCCAAACAGTGTTTTTGTATCCAATACATTCCTGTACATGCTCGTTGTATATATTACATGCTTCATACTTATCAATATAAAACGTATATACCATACTACAATAGTGTCGCGTCATTGCTAGGCAACACTATATCAAGTTTTTCGTTTTGACAATCACTAATAAATAGATATATGTGTAGAGCATCGAAGCTCTATATGTTGTTGAAATAAACAGGTGCACTTATTTACATATAAACAATAAACTCTGTCATGACTTTTTCACCAAAGTGGTATATAAACTCTCTTTTTGTGGGATTCGTATTGAACAGACTATAGGTTTCTACATTGTGTTTTGTTAATCTGTCTTATTATTGAAGGCGGGTTCAAGTTTTATTGCCATGGGGTTGTCAGGTTGTAATCGACTTATGAGTTTGAATGTTCCTTTCAAACCATCTCATTTTCTTTGTGGAAAGAAATTGTGTACACGATATTATTGTATCGTCTTAACAGTTGCTGGTAAAATAAAATATCGTTTATCATGTTTATGTATCACAAACTTTTTTTCAGGAATAAACGTTGACGGACAATGAGTTCATGTTTGATTTTCTGTATTCTTATAAGTACGTAAGTTTTACAATGAAGGTATTATGTTTCCTAATGCAAATTTAGAATTTTAAACAAATACGTATTTTTTGGTTAATTGTGAAAGATATTGAAATTGATAAAATATTTGAGATTAACTTTATCGAAAAGACACCATTTGACGACTTAAAAAATTCGGATGCATATTTTAAGCAATATTGCGAGAGCAGCCTGTAAGAACTTTGAGTTAGTATCTGCCTTTTCATGTGTATCGTATGACCTAAAAGTGTCTGTCTAAAGCTATCAAAACTAAGCAAATACGAGCTCACACGAAACCCATCATTGATTTCGATGAAATCAAGTTATACTTATATCTATATTTCAGGCTTTTCAAATTCGTATAAGCTGTTTGTGAAGAAATATTCGACTGTTGAAATTAGTTGCCAATTTACGACAAATGAAAACGATAATGTGTCTTGGTATTTTGAAGAGTCAACATTAATTGCTATCCGAAAGGACGTAAATCCTGACTTCAAGTCTAAATTTAAAATCAACGGCTATTTCAATCTTCAAATTTTAAATTTTACTGAGGCTGATCAAGGACGTTACATGTGTCATGGAATTTCTGGTGGAAAATACCAACAATGTACAGTTATACTGAAATTGTGCAGTAAGTGATAATGTCATATAGATATGCTAACGGTTTCATAAGACAATTTATAAGAAGCGAAAATTCCGTATATTTGTTCAAGGTACATGCATTTTATTCTAATGGAAACTATACAAAATCAGAAAGAAAAAGAATTTAAAAACAATATCATGACACAAGCGGAATGATTTGTTTGTTCTACATAGAATATATTATAATTTTTCATTTCTATAATTGATTTGAATCGAAGTTTCTAACTAACATTATTAATCAACTGGCTATTGACCATGTTTCCTGAAGTAACACCAAATAAAATAAACTACTCTGCCTTTGTTTCAGACAACAGTAGAAACAGTGATGTTGTTCATGAAACAAGCATCATTTGCACGAAAGACAACAACACCCAATTTGATGACACTAATAACTTAAAAACCTTGATAAGTATTGTTACACGTCCTACTTCTGAATACAGCAGGATTACTAATAGAAAGGAAAAGAGAGAGAAAGAAAGACTAATGAAGTACACATGTTTGGCATTAAATAAAGAGCAGTGTGTAACAAACAATCACACATTTCAATTACAGGTCAAATGTGAGTACACCAAAATACACTTATACTTTTGTGTTATGATACGTAATTGCAAACTATCCCATGTAACACTAACACTACCAAAACATGTTTGTTTGTCAGAGTACTTTGATAACCAAATTTTCCCATTCCCATTTATATAACACATTCTTTCAACTTGTGTTTCCATAGCCATTGACCACGAAATATATGCAGTTGATTTCTAACCGAATAAGGCTACTTTAATATGATTATTGGAAGTATTCTTATTCATATCTGTTTATGCAGTGCACTATGAATGCAGATGCAAAATTTTCACAATAGCTAAAATAATCAGCTGATGATAATTTCATATTTAAATATGTCGAGAAAAAAAATAATTATTATTATATTTGATTATACCATTTTCAAATAAACAATTAAACGAACGCAAAACTATGGCATGAACTTTTCCGGAATATCCTGCTTTTTTAGATAGATAAACATAGTTAAATTTAACAGTTGATCGATTTAAAAACTTATTGTATTTAGAATATATCCACATCGAATTAGAAGAGACAAACCAAGTAATAATTAACAAATACTGAAAAGAAACAATCTGCCTTGAAGCAAACATTTCGTTGTTACGATATCATTTATTTTGGTTATTTTAGTTTACTCATTTCCAGGGATATTAAGTGACGAGGAAGAATATACTAGGGAAACTCAAGATGTTGAAGACACATATACATGTAAATGTAACTCATCAAATATGGCAGAAAACGTGTACTGTAATGGCACAGTTTATACATACTTTTCTAATAGGACTATGTTTCTCCAAGATTTAAAAAACTCATCTGCTGCCTTATACGAATGTGAAATTGATTTAAACGAAATGTATCGAATTCCAATACCATCTTCTGACATTAAACCAAAACGTAAGTGCTATTGTTGTAACCCCTTTTGCTTATATAACTCACATCAAATGTGTGCGATGGCGAGCATATTTGAACCAAAGTTTTCAAATTTAAGTGTTGTGTTTACTTCATTTGTACACGTTGATGAATATAATGTCGGAGACTGATTGCATTATATTGCCGTGTGTATCTTTGTTCTTCATCATTTTGTCCTGAGTTGTAAGGGATGAGGTTTGTGAGCACGAAAAACTGATATAACCCCAGATTAATTCATGTCTATACCAATTTTTGGAATGTATACCATGGCTTTTTCGTTATGTCTCATTAACAGTAGCCGTTTTCTATTTCTAGGCATATACCATATGGCTAAAGACAAATATCTCATAAATAGTTTTATAGGAACTTAATGCAAGAACTCCATACCAAATTTTAAACATTGAAATTCTGATGAGTTTTGATACTCTTGATAATAAATGATATTAAGTCAGCTTTGAAAGATATTTGAAACGCAAACACATTATTAAGATTGTTGCTCATAAATATTAGATTAAATATATCAAAAATGATATTTTGTGAAATTGCAACACACAAAAAATGTTATAATTCATATATGACAGACTTGATCTTATAGTTACTCTATGATAAATAACGTTTTGGGATGTCTAAAGACTCAATTTAACCTTATTTCTCTTTATTATTGAAGGGCCCCAGTGGCCGAGTGGCCTAAGTCTTTCAACTATTGTATCACTAGCCTGTAAACATTGTGTTTGTTAGTTCCAGTCAAACCCGTGACAGATGCCTTCCACACCAATATCAATTGACTAGAATTGGCAGTTTTCCAACCGAAGTTCGTTAGTTACCACTGAGCAATTCGGCTTCATCCATCAATAAAAACTCACCAGCACGATGCAAGTTGCGTTTAACAGCAATCTAACAATCATTATTGCTATGCAAAATTAGAACATTTGGTTTGCATTGACGATGTTAAGCGTAACATTACATACATCCGTCTTAAACTGTATAACTGATTAACCTATTATTGATTATAAAAATAAGTCATGATCAGATGAAACCTACGAACTAAATTAAACTTTCAATTTCAATTTCAGCATTGTATCTAGTTTATGTACTTACGGGCGTTTTCTTTGTATGTGGAATACCTTTGGTCAGTATATTTTTGTGGTGTGTAAGAAGAGGTATGTAGATAATTGTCACTTTTATTGTGGTTTTTTTAATAGTATAAAAAATAGCAAAAAATTATCACTGCATAAAAAAAATTCTTATGGAAAACAACAAACTATGAGTTAGATGGAACCTATAAAACAGTACAGTGTATATATATTCGATATGTTTAATTTACGTATGTCTACAATAAAGTACGAAAAAATGAGGGTTTGAGTAAAACAAATTTGTATAAATCAATATTTGCGTAGATGAAATGCAAAGTATACCCCGCCTCATTCTGTATATGTTTGTGTAAAATCAGGAGACTGTAAATTAGCTGACTTTTGCTGTATTTCGTATATTGTTTTGTACATAAATTATGCCGTTAGTTTTTTCGTTTGAATGTATTTCCATATTTTTCATGTCATAGCCTGTTGTAATTTGCTTTGTGGTGAGTGTTTTGCTCATATTTTTTTTAGACTAAACAGACAATTGCAAAAAAGTATTGAAATGCATTTAAGATTTAATACAAGTAATATTGGTATTCTTTTTAAATCATGCTAAATGTGCTTTTGCTTGACATGATGTTCAATTTTATATCTTAAACGCAGATATCCTATAATTGCATATCATATTAAAAAGAAATTAGACATGGTAGATATAATATGATTAACATTTAAACAATATAGAGATATGAGAACAAAACAAGTCACTATCAGGCCTTCATAAATGAGCAAAACTATAGTCGTATAATCATTAAATTACTTCATTATGCCTAGAAAAAATACCAAAAAAATCAAAAGCACAGTCTGTAACCATTCCTCTAGTTTGAAAGTCATGTTATCTCAGCATGACTTGAACTCAATCTGAAACAAAATTTTATGAAATTTCGCCATAGACTGAAATTTATTGTATCTTGTGATATTGTTTGCATTGTATATAGTATATTATATATAAATGTATATTGTGTCGTCTAAATAAGTTTATAAATGAAAAATATCGTTTTGGAAAATCAATTAAAAAAAAAAAAAGAATTAGTTAGCATAAAAACATTCAATTACATTTTTAAGCATTATTCAATTATTTACATTATAAATGTTGCAGGAAATCAATTAGAAATTTTCCAGCGAATATTTATTCATAGTTATAAACTACATATTGGGAACAGAAATGACGCTTTCCCTCTGGCTCTGTAGTAAAAGCTCGAGACTAGCATCACCAAAGTTTCTAGTTTCTAGTGTTTCAAAAAAATGTTTAAAATTATTATGAGAAAAATCCATCATATTCATATTCGAGACCGATAAATTATGAAACTTTGCATATACATTTTAGTTGTATTAAATTATAATCTATCGAAATCTTTTTTAACTACAAAATTCTCAGTAATACAAAGTATTCTCTAAGACTTTAAAAAGGTTGAATATTAATTGATTCTGAATACTTATAGCTAATAATTGAATTTTGGATGTAACGCGTCTTTTGATTGGCTGACAGTGTTTTGTCTATCAGCTCAAACACATAATTCTGTCATGTGACCGTGACGTCACCAACGTTTTTTCATGATTTACCCCGGCTAGAAATGAAATTTTAAATTAAATAATAGTTCTCTAATATTTTTTATGTTATTTCTTCATAAACAGAAAAAATATTAGAGACATTCCTTAAATAATAGTTTATAACTAAACCTCAATGCAAGTGGGATATATATTCAATAAAATCAAATATATCGAATAGTTCAATCCTGGAATAGTGAGGGTACACACTTTCGAGGGTGGGAACAATTTCCTTAACCCATTTTTAAAAACAACTTTCTGATATTGTTTTTATAAATCTATTCACGTAATAGATTTGGTACATGTGTAATTCAAAATATTGCCAAATCAAAAACAGAAGGAAATGGTGCGCGATCAAAGTTATTCCGATTTATTATCATTCAAAATGCACAACAGTAAAAACGTTATTAATTCAGATGATACGTATACCGATCAGTTTAATGTATATTGCAGCATTCGATCAGTTCAAATTGGTAAGTAGATTTTTACAAAACTAGCATTAAAACACTAAATATGCATAAAAATAAACTAATTTGAGAATTAAAACTGCGCGAGAAAGTCTTTATTAGAGTAATTTTACACATGCAGTAAGTTGTTTATCAACGAGCTAGTTAAAAAAAAACATGAGTAGTTGATTATTTTGTGTAACAATTTTAATCTAAATATTATGCATGAGGTTAATCTGTTTTGAATTGCTATGATGCGGCTTATTATTATTTTTTAAGATTTCATTTTTCAAAATGTTTTTATCGTGTTAGAATAAGGTTGTATAAATCTATTAATAATGATTGGTCGCGGGTTACTATAAATTAATAACATTTGAAAACACAGCAGGTATTCTATGATAGGAAATGAGAACACTACAATTGTATATGTATTCGTCAAAGGCCTAAGGTTTAATACATGTATATAAACAGTAACAGGTCCCCGAATGGTAACAACACTCAAATATGTACAACATTGGGCATAAAATAAATGCGTGATATGATTCAATCTTTTTCGAATTGTTTTCACTTAAACATGTCTTATACATGTACATGTCATATGATTATCATGTGTATTGAATTATCAATAGTATGTTGTCATCCACCTAACAATAAAACACTACTTGAAAAAACGGAACGTTCCCTCAGTCTTTAATTTTGTTGAAAAACATAATAGTATGACACAAAATGTTGTATCAAAAACTATCAAAAGAGACAGGAAATACCAAGAGAGTATTAAGAGTTCATAAGTCAACCTGACGACTTCATGCCAAATAAAACGAAAAAAACAAACGAAAAAACAAACAAAATCACGAAACACTGTATACAAAAGTGGGTAATACGAATCCCATCGAAAGTTGGAAATGATCCCGTATGGTCAGTCGATCTTACTCTATTTGTGGTACTCGTCATGTTACGATTTATATTGATAAACCTGTACTCTGTACTACATGCTATTCTATGTAGCAAGTCTTTCTTTATAGTTTATGCCATAAACATTATAAAATGCTGTACATTCTTTCTTTGGAAATATTTAACGTAGTTTTATGTATGACTTACCACAAGAAATGCATTTCAAAAATCTAGAATGCAGAGAACGTTGCAAGACTTAACGAACCGCATGATTTGCCGGTGGAAGGATACTCTTCTATTGACAGAAGACGTAGAATTGAAATTGGACAAGCAATTTCGTATAAAGCTAATCGAGCTTCAAAAGCAAGTATAACTGATGAAAGAGGAGATGGATCATGTAATTAATTATTTTTATACCTTCTTTAATATGTTTATTCATTAATGCATATAAATCTCTATGAAATGACTAGCCTTCTTTCTTGTTTTGCTAAATGTGCTATATACTCTTTATTCCTTGCCAACAAAAAACACGACGAATTGAATGATTGCGGCTAACCAAAAATATTAAAATGATGGAAAATCAAACTTAGTTTGAAATAACAAAGACAAAGGAGTGTTTCTGTCATCTTCCTTCCTGATTCAGTACATACATTTTCCAAAGCGTAGCTGGCATTATTATTCCAATGTCCGACGCATATCTCATAACTAAAGGAAAATTGAGGACTTCAGATCGAATTCGACGAAGGTCTCTTCTTAACTGCATTGGTTTTTTTTTATAAAACGTATCATTGAAACACACCATTTCCATAATCGTACAATCAATTTAAACTAAGAGATGTGATGTGATTATCAATGATACAACTATTCAATAGCGTCGGAATGGTGCACTATACTTAACCTAATGGCCTTAAAAAATTATCAAAACAAGGACAGGCTCATATAAATTGTGGCGGAGTTAAACATATTTTTGAACGATCAACCAATCCCACTAACCTGGGGCAATAGTGCAACTGACCAGCACACATTACATGCGAAGGAATTGAAAATAAATCAGTTTGAAATCGTTTTACTCATCAGATCGGTCGATGCACAAACATAAAGACAAAAGACACAAAGTACCGTGACGATAAAAAGCAATTCCAAAGCTAATATAAACAATAAACAAATCATGTTCTCCCAGACTAAAGCATCTGTACAATCCAACAGCTTTAATGAAAATGTGTCATAAATAGCCGGAAAATAAAATTACTTGTGCAATGTCGAATCATAAGTGCACAATATCTACCGCATGTAGAACAATTAGTTTATACATATATATATAAATATACATATAAAGGTAAAGTAATATTTTAGATTAGTTCTGTTATAACACTATAAAAGTTAAGATTAGTACTGATGAAATCAATATTCAAATATTTCAGTACTGTTTTATATTGATATCTGTTCGATATTTGTTCAAAGTATCAATGAGTTTGCATTTGTAAGTTTTATGGTATTATAAACAACAATATGGTTGAAAATAAATATGATATTCCGTTTTTAGAAAAGATTCTACAGAGAAGCTTCGAAACGCTTCGAAATATGTGTATCTATAAAAAGGTTTATTAATTGTTTCGTGAAATTCTCGTGACGAAATCTATTTCTTTATGGGTTGCTAGTTATACATAGATTACGTACATGGCAAACTAATACGTCACTGCAGACATAAGTTTGGCAAAAGAGTTGGGTAATATATTAAATTAAGAAGTGTCTATGGAGTATCGCCGTCCTAAAAAACGTACAATAGGAAACGAACCAAACTGGAATGAACTGTACAGTTCTGAGATCTAGGGTAACTTGAAATAATTTACTAAACACATTTAAATGGTTTAGAAACCCCAACAACTTTTCTAGCAAACAATATCAGAAAATTTTTCATTTTACAATAAATATTTTTCCGTTGCATTTTTTTTTAAACAGTGTTGTTTCGAAATTCTACCAACAATCAAAACTTTGAACAGACAAGGAGTGCCGACAGGTTGCGAGTAGAAAAAATTAAGACTACTACTGAATGTGTAAGTTTTTTGTTAGCAGACACGTATATCATACAAGTACATGTAAATAAAACAAAAACTTTCTCATAAATAAAGTTATCACAACCATTGACATAAGTGTGTTCAATCTAAGTGTGCAAGTGCTTTTTTGTATAGGTCTCCCTTCTTAATAAACATGGCAATATACATGTACATGTAACAATAAAACAATACACCAACCTTTTTTTTAATTTTATTTCAATCGTTAGTCAAATAACTTTTTTCACATTGAACGCAACTTATGTAAGCAGTCAAATCAAAGTTAAATTATAATGAGCTGAATTTCCCATGTTTCCTGCCAGCAACCTGCAACCAAAAACAACCTATTGAAATTCATGTTGGAATTAGTAGTATACATTAGTATTGAATTTATGTGTATTTTTTCACCTGTTATTTGCTTACTTAATAATATCTCACTTTAAATTTACCATTGCCTTTTTAATATAAGCATACTATCTAAGAGTTACACTTGCATCTGCGTAATTTATTTTTCACCATTTTTAAGGAACTTATTTAACAATTGTATTACATTCAAGTATATATAGTGCCGTGTTTATCGTGAGAGTGTGGTGCACATTGAATTACTTTAAACAAGCCTCATGAAAAACGAAGGATAACACAATTTGCACGTGACACAATAAAACATTACTACAATACAGGTTTAAGTTCACATATATTTCGGATTTGATGCGTATTTATTATTAGGTGTCAAATCACTTGAGGTAGGTCGTTTGACAACTGAAACCAGACTGTGAAAGCATATGCATATTACAATTTACCAAGAGTATATCAGTTCGCAAACCCTATCTTTTGAAGAAAAAAAAAACATGCATGTTGAACCCAAATTGGGCTCAATGCCGATATGACAAATCCAAATATGGATCGGATTCAATGATATCCAATTTGAATATGCCATGCGTGTTAAAAGAGAAGACTGACAATATATTGGCTTGTGAAATTTAAACTCACAAAAGTCCAAAATAAACTGACAACACAAAGCTATAAAAGAAAAAATATATCAACAGAAAAACAACAGAAAAACAACAGCACTCCAAATACAACATAGAAAACTAAAGACTGAGCAACACAAACCCCACAAAATCACTGGAGGTAATCTAAGATGCTCCTGAAAGGTAAACAGATCCTGATTTGCATGTTTGATTTGGAATATACCTAATTCATTGTATAGTAGAACCGCTTTTTTTCTAATTGTAATATCAGTTGGACAATTTTTAGTCTATTTTAGTAAGACTAAATCCATAAGTGATTATAAACGTTAAAGTGTTATTTTGTTTTTCTTTGATTCACGTGCATTACTAAATGAATGTTTGTTTCTATATTGTAGAACACAGAGACACCTATCCTGAACTATATCGACTTGCAGTTTAACTCCGTCACTGCAGGCCCAAAATTTGTTATCCATGGATCAACCGACAAAACGCCATATGCCGATATTGATTTGACAATCAAGGCTGATCCACTTCCAGAAAGTGACTCAAGTGATGATGATGAAACAAATCATAACGATGAATTTTTGACCCTCAATGACATTCAAAAACTTAGAAAACCTGTATAGAAAGTGAACTATTCTATACGCAGCCTTTGTATATATTTTGTAAATAGAGAATATGAAACATTAAATCATTCGAAGTTAAAAGATGGATATTTTTTGTATGCAATAATGAATTATAAATAGTAAAAGATACGTGTCGGGTTTTTTTTATTGCCATACCTCACCGACACATATACGTTTCGTGTATTGTTCCCTTTCTACAGTTTAGCGGATATAAATTGTGCATCTATAAGCATTTACAGTTTCATCGAACACCGTTGTAATCCTAGCCGAATGAATATATAGCTTAATACTAACATTCACAATTAGAATCATAACTTTAAAATTATTTGGGATTCCGATGAGGATAACACTGGGACAATGACAAAACGAGAAAAAGTTGAACTAGAAACTCTGTCAGAATAGATTAAAACAATAAGGTCATTGATTAAACGAAGAATCCACAAGTTAAAAAAACTATGTAAAATTTCCATTTAAGTTTGTGTTCAGAGACAAAGAGGCTGTGAAATGTCTGGAGTCTCTTCACAACACATATGTTGTTGTTCCTGCGAAAAAAGCTTCAAACAATACATGTTTTGTATGTCAATCCTTTTCCTACGAGCGTCTCATCAAAGAATTAAGAATAGATATACACTGGGGAAATCCAACGTACCAAATCGTAACCATACAAATGATAAGAGCTTGGCAAACCACAAATCCTCCATGGTCTCATTTAATATGTCAATGGACAACCAATCTTAGGACTTATCTTGTTTGTATTGGATACCTACTATTTACAAGGCTCCGTACATACAACGGTGCATAGCATTGCCGAATATTATCTGCATGTTCTACAAAGGAATTGTCCGTTAACTAGATTATACAGAATTGTCTCCGCTGAAAGAAGGATTACAGAAATACTGTGACATACTCGCGTAGTGGCATTAATTATATTTTGATCTCTTAGAACTCACAAGAACTTTTGGAAAATTTTACATCTCGGACATTTTCTGAAATAAATTCTTTTTTTCTCTCTTTACACCAGCATTCCACAGATAAAGACCCGTCTTAAAGATATAATCCACAATGCTTCCAGTCATAAAAACGATATCATGCGCTATAAATGATTTCGCATATACATGTAGTTCTGCATATTTTGTAGACGTGAGACACAAAATAAAACATGCTACACCGAAAACAAGTTATCAGTATGCTAGAGGTTCTCATTGACAACATATTTGTTGAAATTGGAAGTAGAAATTTCCAGCAGGTTGTCGGCATTTTCAACTGTCATCCTCTCCTGGCCAATCTTTTCTTATTTTGTATATGAGTCTGAGTACCTTCAATCACTTGCAAAACAAGCATATACACAAGCTAGATTGTTTAATTTTACATACAGGTATATTAATGATGCTCTTTCCATCAACAATCCAAACATTACTGATGACTTCTCAACTAATTATTGTCACATTAACCTAGTATGTCTGTTTTGCTTGCTTACCCAATTTTGTTGAAACTATAGAAGTAGACATTATCAACAACTCTCGACACCGACTAATTACACCTACAGTTTACAGGTAAAATGAAGGGGTCGTCTAAACATTAAACATCATTTATGAATAGTATTAGGTTGTTCATATCTTCGATTTTACACTATTTTGACAAACGAACATATTTTAAACACATATTAACATCTCTCTCTTTTATATAACATCTTATTTCACGACATGCACTTTGAATTTATCATACCTTCAAGTATATAATTTCTTATTTTCTTATTTTTTAATAATGAAAAAAAAGCTTACGATTTGAATATAAATCCGAATCTAAATCCGAATAGACACCAAGCATCTCTAAATTATTTTTTTTTTTGTTATGAATGTACTGTATTCCAGTTAATTCTCGCAAATGAGGATAATTTTGGGCGCTATTTTGCTTTAAGTTTGTTTTGGTCGTACACCATAATGGCGAGGCAATTTACTGGTTTCATCCTCTCTTTGGTCAGCTATGGCATCTGATTGCCTGGAAACAGGTTCATTGACGTCATAGTTAGATGTAGGCGGAAAATTTAAAGAGGAAGAGTCGGAATGTGAATTGCATTGTCGTCGAATATCGAATTTAAGTTTGTGATTCAAAAAGGAATAAAGTTATGAGTATATTGAGGCTTCAGAAGTCAAAATTATCAGATCTTATGGTAAAATATACCACCTTAGTCAACAAACATAAAACATTGAATATTTGCTTAAAAATACAGGTTTTTTTTCTTGAAGAAATGTAAAATTGAAGCTTTTCCTTTTTGTCATAATCAATTCACAAATGAGTTTTGTTTTAATCAGCAAATAAAGAATATAAAGTATAATACACAACAATTGCTTTTTGATACATGTCATGCTGTATAATTTTCTTATCGGCAATCAAAACAATTATATTTATAATATATTTTTTTCAATTTCATTATCGCCCATGTCGTAATTGTTTTCAGCTGTATGTGTAGACAATTGTTGAAAAGTCTAGTTGGAGGTGTAGCTAGCCCAGTAATAAAACCAAGTTTAACCTTCATTTTCTTCAGAAACTGTCTATAGTAAGTCAGGAATGTAGCAGTTAATTTTTCTTGTTCCGTTGATTGAAAGGGTTTGATTTTGTCAGTTGTTTTGGATATCCCCATTGTGAGCATTTTTGTAATATTTAACGATAAGAGAGAATTTTTCATTTTCAATGTCACCATCCTATGGTGTTTATGCATATTAACTTGATTCGCTCGTGTATGTAAATACACATACGAAGATGTGATATTAGTGCGAATGAGACACCTCTCCATCCAAGTCACAATTTGTAAAGTAAACTATTATAGGTCAAAGTACGGTCTTCAACAAGGAGTCTTGGCTCACACCAAACAACAAGTTATTAATAGACCCAACAATGACTAGTGTAAACCCAATTAAACAGGAACACCAACAGTCTAATCTATTTTAAAAATCGAGAAACACTTATGAACCACATCAATAAATGACAACGACTGAAAATCAGGTTCCTGAACAACGTATTTGCTTTCAAGGAAAGAAATCTCTGTTTAAGTGACAAATCATTACAACAGGGATTCGATAATACTTGTACCAGACAATTCTTCATAGAACAAAATCAACGTTTATGTATTTAACATCCATTTTGTTTGTGGCAATATTTTATGCAGAACACAACCATGTTGCAATTCACCTAAAAAGCAAACCAAACCTCAAACTTATTCCATAGGTCTTTTGTCAAGTCATTAAAGATGGCATATTTTGAAATAGATATTCATCAAATTCACTCACAGGGACTTTGCAACGGAAGTAACCACAATATCTAATACCAGATTTTGGCATGATGCGGGTTATGTTATTCCAGTATCCTTTTTGATTGCATGATACAAAACGACTAACGGGAAGGATTTTGGTTTATTTTTATATGGTGAAGACGTAAACTTTCCATCAGTTTAAGTAAGGTTCAAGACAAACATGTCAGTGACTGCTAGAAGTTCCTTGTTAATTTATGTTGATCACTGTTATTTTTCTAAGATTCTGCTGTTACATATTCTAACATCGGACTCAGATTTCTTTAAAACTGAGATTTACTGTGTGTATTGCGATGTGTTTGATTATTTCCCACTGGTCAGAGGTATGCAAGTTGTTGAAATCTCACAAAAACATATTAAACCCAGACGCATTTCAATAGAACTAGGAACGGTTAGAGTAACCGTTATTAAATATAGAATAAAAAATAGTTTCCGAATTATATATACTTAAGTTTGCCCTTGCATAATCGGAACGAAATGTATACAGATGGACACTATAGTGATATTTAATTGTAATTATAATGTCAACAACCCAAAGGACAATGTCTTCCGTCTGATCTAAAAGAAATATTTTTTTGGGATTGTATCCCACATTGAATTGTAACACATATATACAGGGGTTAAAAATTTAAAAAAAAAATAGTACAAGCTTATATGTCATCCAGGCATATTAGTGGTTTTAATAATTGAAATAAAAATGATTTCTTTCAATAAATATTCAGTTTCAAGAGTATGAGTTGGCAGTGCCAGGTTTTCTTTGGTTCAATATGATAAACGAATTTCAAAAATATTCTCTCGTTTTCTTCCTGAGTATTAGTGAAAAGAATAACCTCATATATATCCATTCCCACACTTTGGATTAGTATATACTTAACTCGTTAACGCATACATTCTTGTTTTATTTCTTTTTTAGCCTGCTATAAGCAAACATTTTGGATAATATTTCAAATTAATTTGACTTGTGCATAAACGCAATTGTGTGTGGAATGCCATGCATAATATTGCATACAATATGAGGCTTACAATTATAGGATCATAGGACAGTGCTACAGTTACTCATTAAAAAGTACAAAACGGGCTATAAAAACCTGAAACAGTCAGACAGTGATAATCTCATAGGAAAAACGTGAACCCCTGTTCGTTAACGCATACGGATAACACACGTGATTAAGCGACACGAACCCTACTTTACACATATAAGTCAGTTAAGGGTGGTATCAGTCTTAAGCCTAAGTTTGGGATAGTTTAATACAATTGTTATATTTTGATACATGTTCATAGTCACTACTATCACATGCAAGACGACAATGCTATCAGAAGACCACCGGAATGGCGTGTTCAAAAAGTGTCAAATATAAGGTTTTATTGTATATGCCGAAAGGTTTATTCATTTATGCCTTTCCGTTTTGTGTAATTCAAATGAGCTTTCGTCAATACTAAAAGAGTACACTAAAGGACAAAATAATTTGCTCTCTTGATTTTTTTATGTAACTATTTTATTTTTTTGCAGACATTCCAAATTCCAAACCTTGCAATTTCAGATTGCAATGGCCATCATGGCAACGCAAAAAATAATCATTTTGTTTTAATTTTGTTTAGACAATTATATGTCTTTTTTATGATATCAAGTTTGTGAAACATTTAAAACAATATTTGCTTCAGGAATTAGATTGTCATTTGTGACATTTTCACTCGAATCTTGATGGTTGTTTAAGCATCTTCTTCGTATGGATTTCCGATCTACAATCATACAAAGTAAAACTAAAGAATACAATTTCCGACTTTAAAGCTTAAACGTTACTTAACTATAACTAACTATGCGAATTGCATTTGTACACTCGGCATTTTCAGATATTGTCAAATGAAAATTGTCCTTATGTGTTTATTTTCGCGATATTAACTCTACTTTTTAAACATCTAACTATTGTAGACAACACATAAATATAAACATTTGTTTTTTAAAAGAACAGTTTTCATTTGTTGAAGCACAAGTATGTATAACTTTAAAATCTTATCGTTCATTTACACTATGTAAATATATGTGAAGTAACATTTTCACTGAGCTAGTACACATTTTGTTTAGAGGCCAGCTGGAGTCCACCTCCCGGTGCAGGATTTTCTCGCTGTATTGAAGACCCATTGATGGCCTTCGACTGTTGTCTGCCCGTTATTCGAATTGTGGTCTCTTTGACACATTCCACATTTCCATTCTCAATTTTAGCATATAAAAAGGCAATTATATTTTATTTAAGATTCTTACGAGAAAAAATATCAACTAAACCACTACACCATACCTACTTATTTTTGTATAACAGTACTTCGTTCAATTGTACAACTTTGAAAAAAAAGTAGAATATAGAATACGCACGGACTTTTTTACACGCTCTTCAAGTATACAGCGAGTAGACATCGTTGTCCAATCGCACTCGTCGGGTTTTGCAAAAGTTCGTTATTTCGGATGTGCGGATTATTTAAACTGCAGTTCCCTTTTCAGCAACATTTTCCAGAAACTGAATGAATGCAAATTAATATGTTGAAGTAACTGCGTTTTCCTTCAAAGCATATGTAGTACAAAGATTTTCAACAGGTCGAAAAAAGAAGTAAACCAACGAATCGAGCGAATACTACACAGGCCTTCTTTAACCAGCAATACCTGTTCCTAACCGATCAATGTACGGTGTTTCCATCCGGCAAAATGTTAATTCCGCAGTGCCTTTTATTAGAATATATATTCATATAAACCATTAATGATTTAATCTAGTAAACTTACTTAAAAAAAGAACTATAATGAATATCAAAATAGCCAAAAATGCAGATACGATAACAATGATTCCAACTGTCACTGAAGCTGCTTCCTTAGTTTGAACGTCATTACTAAAGGCATACGGTATATTATCCGAGACCTTTGTCTTGCTTTTGTCACCTGTATATAATGGAGATCAATAACATGAGTGACCATATAATTATCTGAACAGACGGATGTGTTCGAATCAAATAAAAAAATCGAGTCTTCAGCAAACACTGGAAATATATGAATCACAAATTACATTTCTGATTTATGTTTAATTTTTTTCCTACTCAAAATTATTACACCTGCATGTCCAAGGAAAACAAAAAGCAATGCATCATCCCTGATGTCGTCAACAAAACCCAGAAGTCTGAATTTAACTGGTTGTCGTTGTTTGTCGTCTGTCGTTATATTATTTATTTAATTTCATTACCGTTAACAATGATTAAATCAATAGTTTCAATTTCGTTATCTCGGGCCTATTGTAACTTGCTGGGGTTCAGTATGTGTTTTTCTCATTGTTGAAGGCCGTACGGTGATCTGAACATTGTAGTAGCTCCTTCACCTTTGACCCTACGTAAAACTAACTCTTTAACAATCATACCGGATCAGCATTTGTACTGAATGGTTAAGATGTTCTGACCTGGAACAGATACAATGTGTAGCGGTTACACCAGATTTGCATGCGTCTCATAAAAATAGTAAATTGCAGTTTAAAAAATAGCAGTAAACATTAAGAGAAAGAATTAAAGCGAATTTGAAAGCTTAGCTTACACTTATTTCAAATATGTATTAGTTGTTGATGAACTAGACTAAGAGATAAGGCAAACAATCAGCTAACTCTGATTGATTAGTTAAAAAATATTTAGGTTTTATGTTATATCTTACTGAAAAAGGGAAGATGATTTACTACTCTATTTTAAGAAAGTCATTCCTGTGGCAAATGATAACTTTTATCACAATTTTTCAAGACAAATTAATGTATATGCACTTTTACTTGAAACTAGAGAGACAATTCGCTCTATCCAGATAAAAAAAGTAACTATCGTTTTGATGTGAGGACGTATTATACACTGATTTCAAATCATATAGTTTCTAACGTAACAGTACCAAAATTGCACCTATTCAACACAAATAGCAGTGGAAATCTTACAAGGTTTCTTTGAGACTAAATAATTTGTATTTCTATGACTTGACATTATACACGTTTCATCATATGTAATTATATTTTGATATACACAAAACGTTCAAAGTACATATCAACATATGAAGTTTGTACTGGAAAAAATAATTCTACGGAAACGCCACCATGCTACGTCAACAAAAGTCATATTCTAAAAATGTGCAAATATAATATGTTACAAGCATCAAGTTCTAAAAAATGAAAAAAAAAACAACATAGACTTAACCTTTAAACAGACTTATTCAGAAAGGATATAGTTACGATACTGTTGTCAGGTCATTAAAGATGGTATATTTTGGAATTAATAATGATTCACTCAATGGCATGTAAGTAACTGCTAGTAGCCTTTTGTTAATGTTTGTAGCATATTGTCATTTTGCTTAGTTTCTTCTGTTACCTATTCTGACATCGGACTCGGACTTATTCAAAACTGAGTTTTACTTTGTGAATTGCTGTGTTTGTTTATTCTACATTGGTTAGAAGTATATGGGGAGGGTAAAGATTTCACAAAACATGTTTAACCCCGCTGCATTTTTGTGCCTGTCGCAAGTCAGGAGCCTCTGGTCTTTATTAGTTTTGTATTTTTTTTAATTTTAGTTCATTATAGGTTTCGGAGTTTAGTTTGACGTCCATTTTCACTAAGCTAGTACACATTTTTTGTTTAGGGGCCAGCTGAAGCCTGTCTCTGGGTGTTGAAGACCCGTTGGTGGCTTTCGGCTGTTGTCTGCTTTTTGGTCGGTTTGTTGTCTCTTTGACACATTCCCCATTTCAATTTTAAATTTTACGTATGTTAAATTGTTCTAAATGTTTGAAGAAATAAAACAAAACATCTTTTATTCGTTTTTATGGATATGAATGTTATCATGGATGCATTTTGTGTACTCCTCATTAAAGACTCATGGGTCGTTTCGAGGTTGATTTTTCTATGATTCAATATGGATTTCAAAATTCAAATTGATGTAATTATATAGTAAGTAATGATACATCTATAAAATAAACACATAATGGAGACTTTTGTCTGGATCATAAATAAACGTAGGCGAAGAAAATGTCAAAATAGATGCAATTTGGGAACCCTCATGTTATACACCATTGCACGAAACAAGGGAGATAATTTTGCACTTGTGTCGTATGATTGGTTGACTTGTGCCGATTCCACTAAAATATACAGTACTAGCTCCTAGAAACGTCTGTTTGAAATAAGTGCAAAAATTATGAGTTTCGATTTACATTTGATTACTTCCGTTGAACCCTTTTCAATGTCATATAAAATTATGTGTCTTTTTTTAAAAACCTAACGAAGAAACAAACATGTGAGGTTTTATCATGTATTAGTATGAAGTTATAAACAATAAAACATAAATTAAAGTATCAAAAGGAAAATAACTTATATTAACGTTAACTGATTGGTTTAAACGGATTTATAAAATCTTTGCTTTAATGTTTACAACATTAAGTTACATTTCTGTCTATTTTCTGTCTTTCAGTTATCTTGAATTGAGGATTACAAGCAATTAAAGGTCAAAATGTCACACTTATAATTTGTATTTGGCCTAGACCCAATTTTCTAGATGTAAGGTCTTATATTTCGAATCTAAAGACAACTAGACTGTTACAAGAAGACTTCCTTCCACTCAGCTTATTTTTTATATATTGCCAAACTTATGTCAATAACTTTTAATGTTACTCATAACAATCAACATACGGAGTATATATCTCCCAATTGATACGATATTCCCGGGCTTGTATTTTCTATCATGATTTCCTTGATAGAGGATTGCTGCTCACGAGGAAGCCATTAAACCAAGAGTTCCAAATAGAGAAGTTGAAATCATCCCTTCGTAAATTTTACGGACGCCATCACGAGTTGGTTGACCATTATGGAATAACCGTTTCACAGATGATATCGGATATGTTCCTTATGTCGTAACTACAATACCCTTCCCTTTTCACGAATGTGACCTACCTAATTAGACTATTTACCGGATTGTAATAACATAAGCAACACGACGGGTGCCACATATGGAGCAGGATCTGCTTACCCTTCCGGAGCACCTGAGATCACCCCCAGTTTTTGGTGGGGTTCGTGTTGCTTAGTCTTTAGTTTTCTATGTTGTGTCTTCTGTACTATTATTTGTCTGTTTGTTTTTTTATTTTTAGCCATGGCGTTGTCAGTTTATTTTCAATCTATGAGTTTGACTGTCCTTCTTTTTCAATGTTCAAACGTAAAACATGACCTTTGCCTCAGTGTCTCGCCTATGGACCAGTTACCGCATATCAACATACTCTAGGTCTTTAGGACTTATATTTTATAAGGAATCATTTATCATTTATATCGAAAAACAAAAAAGGAAATAACTCGTTTTTTATAACTGGATCACTTCGATATAAATTTAATAGATATTTAGAGGGCGAAACGAATATTTTGGAGACAAATTTATTTTAATAAGCAATATGTTTTACGGTTTTTCATAGAAGCGATAACACGAAAATACAGCATACGGGAAATAACTTCTATATTGAAAGAGTTCGGTTGCAAAGAAAAAGTGTAAAAACTCAATACGATATCATATCCCAAATATTGTATCAAAATGTTGCGATAACAAAAGTACTGAAGAAATAAAAAATAGAAAACTCATAACTTTATTCAAAGATGAGAAAGTTGACGATATTCAGGTTTGTTGTCTACAATTTAAATTGTTTTTTTTTTCTTTCTTAATTTTTCGATAATATTCAGAATAAACAACATACCTGAACATTTATAAGTCCCGTTTCCCTTAAAAACCACCGGTTCTGCCACTTCACCAAATGAACAATTTATCATTGGAAGCTTATCACAGTCCATATTTTCAAATGTATAATCTGTTTTATACAGGTACTTGACGCTGTAAACTACGTGTCTGTTATACGTTTTTTCTATTGTCCTTGAAATAAGACTGTTCTAAAATAAAAGGAAATATATAGAATCGGAAAATAGTACCATTGAATTTAAACATGTTTTTGTTGATTGTGTTATTTATATGTTTAGTACTAGATAACCACTTTACATTTTGTGTATGTCTTGCATATAATGATATTTATATTTCGTTCAAACAATACATTAATCATTGATCAAAAATTGAACAAATACAAACTAATGAGTTTAATACACGTAAGAAACGCCTCGGTCGCTTGAATTTTATAAAATGTCGTTTTTATTTTTTAAGTTTAAGTACATGTTATATATCAATGGCATATCATTTCCATAGATAAAGGAAAAAAATCAGCGAAATAATAAGATAACAAGATTTTTTTATGGAATAATAGAAAATTTGCAAACTCATGTGAAGAACTGTTTCTGGTTCTACTACTGCTAAAAACATGTGTTCATAAGTGTTTCTCGTTTCTCGTTCCATTATACAGATTAGATCGTTACGTTTCCTGTTTGAATTGTGTTACACTAGTCATTTTGGAGCCCGTTAAAGCTTGCTGGTCGGTGTGAGCCAATGCTCCGTGTTAAAGGCCGTACTTTTTACACATTGTGACTTGGATGGAGAGTTGTCTGACTGGCACCTATAGCACCTGCTCATTTCTATGTATCGACCAATTAGCCTTTATATAATATCTCAATAAATATGACCGATACATTTTAAATGGGTAAAAAAACAAGTATCAATAAAGTAATAAAAATTGCATACACTTTCATCGTTCATACCACCTGAGTTCACATTCAAGCAAACGTATTTGATCATGAGAAACAAGGCGGGTGTCGATAGCGGCACAAGAACTGATATCCCTTTTGAGAACTTAGTTCTTTCGATCTGTTGTTTTACTTTTTTTTTTTTTGCTTAATCTAAATTTGATGTCATGTTCTGTAAGCTGATTGTCTTCGAGATGTTTTTCTTCGACTTACTGTTTATGACTCTTAAGTATAATGTATTGTTTCGTCATATTTCTTTTGTCGTTCGACAGGGTGTCATTGGTCATTAATTGATTTGTAAGGGTTGTTTCTTTCTTGTTATCAATATTGAATAAATGCCTCATTATATATGGATGTACAATAGGTAAATAATTACGTTTTTTCTACTTGCTCCTATCAGAAGGGAACAGTTTGGTACGGGATACACTTTGTCAATCTCTAGACGTATTCGCAACTTGCGATTGGCAACAGTAAATAAGGCATAAATGCCAGTTGGAGGATCTGAAGATAGAATAAATTGTTATATATACTCGGATGAAAAATTAGTTAAAGTATATGTTATTATTGGACGTCCCATGGCTTGTATTTTCCTATCAGAGCTTCCTGAATAGAGGGTTGCTGACAACATGGCATTTATACGGTACAGTTAAATTATATTGGCGGACGTTTCTATTCTACCAATACTATTTATCAGTGTTCATATGATAAATAATATGTTCAGTTAGTTCTTGCTACAATCATGATCTCTTGTCCGCAACTAAAAATTATCATGGATGTTAACTTAATTATTTATTATCAGAAACATAACAGAAACTCGAGGAATGAACTGCCCACCCTTTACACCTACCAGGATAAATTGCTATTTGATTAGAGGGACGGTTTGCGTTTAAGTTTTCTACGGCGTATTTGATATTCCATTTTTCAAACTCTGTTTTTCCTATATGTCTTGGTGTTGAAAGTACTCTATATTTAAAAATCATTTTAAACTTTCACGTTCAGTCTCGTTTAGGATAAAGATTTCCATGTATTGTTGGTTTGTGAATTTAACAATGTGTTCAGGTCAGACAGCAGACATATATATGAAGCATTTTTTTTAACTCTTATGTAACAAAAAAAATATTTAAATTACAATGGGTGCTAACAGTTAAGCAAGATCTGTAATTTGTTGTTCATTTCAAACTTATTTTTAATAACCCGTTTGTTATTGTTTTTGGTTTTGTTCAATGTTTGTACAACAAACAATTGAACAAATAGTGTATGGATTATACTTTGAAGCTACTGAATGTAGTTATCACACAACCCATTTAGGGATAAGAGCATCCATCTGTCCATTCGATCATCTTTATCTTAATATGACTTGTAATTGGTTGGTCTTTTATGATATAATGTGCTACAGCAAATATATCATTGCAATTTTCCCTTTTATGCACGAACTAATTTGCCTAAAATTACTCACCAGCTTGTAATCTACCGACCTATTATATTCTATTACAATGATACATATTTAAAAAGATAAAACTCTATAATACTTACAATAAAATAAATTGCCTTCCAGCATCAACGTCTTTGTGAATGTATTAAAGCCGCATGCACAGGTGTAACTAGCATCTACATCTGATTCTGTTAAATTCTTTATAATTAATGAAAACTTATTTGGTTGTGAATTTAAATATTCTTCATATTTATGGTTGTCAGATGAGAACCCATTGTAAACAAGTCCTTTATGTTGAGGTCCACCTGACCACTGACGAACTGGACAGTCCTTAGATTTTATTAAGTTGTCTCCTGTATTGCATGTTAATCGAATATTCTGTCCAAAAGTTGCAGGGTGTGTGTCCAAAGTCCAAAACACTGAAACAGCAATTGACACATACATAGATTAATTTCAGGAATTGCGTATTATAAGGGTCTGGATCGTTATCCTTTGTTTTTGTACTTTTTTATGAAAGCTTTACTTATTTCTATTTTGGCTATAATTTTCTATTCTGTATATTTTAGCTCCCTATTGTTCTCTGTTCTATATATGTTTTGCCTTTTTTCTATATATTTTTTATGTTTTGGGTCCTTTTTTGCTGTAGATTTGGTCTAATATTCTCTTTTTCATAAATCCCACCTAGACTCTTTAAGATTAAATGAGAATCATGAATTTTGTAGTTAAAAGGTTGTTCCGAGCTTATTTGTTCGAAAGATTGTTTAGACTGTGTTTATCCATTATTTGTTTTTTTTTTTATGTAAAAATGAAGAGGTGGTATGATTGCCAATGAGACTACTATTCACAAGAGACTAAATGACACAGAAATTTACAACTAAAGGTCACCGTTCGAATTTCAACAATGAGCAAAAGATTATACCGCATAGTCAGCTATATACAATGTAAGGCCCCAAAATGACAAATGTAAAACAATTCAAAAGAGAAAACTGACGGCCTAATTTAAGTAAAAAAACAATGAACGAAAAACAAATATGTAACACAGCAAACAAACGACAACCACTGAATTACAGGCTCCTGACTTGGGAAAGTCCTGTGGACGTGGCCGGGTACATGTACAGCCAAGCCACAAACAGACACTAAGTTCAGAAGAGAGTACTCGCAGTTTCTGACAGCCAGTTCAAAGCCAATAAAACAAATCATGCATCTAAGAATATACTTATCATATGTTTGAAACAGTATGCAGGAAAGGACAGGGTTATGATTCCTACTTCAAAACAATGTATGCAATTAAAACATTTTGAAGTTTAGCAGCATATTAATTTGTAACTGAATTTGTAGAATCTTTACTTATCCTTACATAACAAAGCATATGCACCAGTTGACTTAAGTAAAGTAGTATATGGTCCTTGACTTTTTTGTTTCCACCTTCATTTTGAATGTCTTAAAACTTTACTACAAGTTATAATACTCTTTTATTCCTTTGTTTGTAAAACAGGAAATATTTGGGGTCGTGTGATGAAATCAACAAATAATCTTCAGTATAGAACACATTGACTGTCTTAGTTATTTTTTTTTTGTGATATTTTGTTGTTGTTGGTGTTTTATATATATATATTATGAGGTTTCTGAATTATGTAAATTATTCACTTCATTAAATATTATAATGTGAAAAAAAACTCAAGAAAAGAATTTCATACAATAAATTGAAGGAATCTGGATTGACTTACCCCCCCCCCCCCCCCTTTTTCCCCTCTTATTTATTTCGTAGAAATTTAATGAGCAAACTTTGGTGAATACTATGTAAAAATGACTTTCTTCACATCAAATCGTTGACTATAATGATCTTTTTATGTCGGTTTTTGAATTTGCGGATTGAATAAATATGTTGAAGTTGTTTTAACTTTGATGTAAGATTCCGTCAACCACATAAAAAAGTACTTACTTTACGCCTTACGATCAATCAAACAATTAATTTGTAAATAAGATTGTATCTAATCAATTGTTGTCCGGCAAAAGTAAAGAATAAATACAAAGCGTTGACCGAAGTAGCAGAAGCGCTTCATTCAAAAAATGTGCGCACGTTCAACGCTTTTACAACCCTATGAAATTACAAAAAAAATCATGCAATACTTATAATTACATTTTTTAGCTAGGTCATGAAAATACGATTTCTATCAAGTTTTTCGTTAAGTTACCTGTGCACTTTTTTGTTGGACATCGTGTCATCACGAATGTTAAATTTCATTGTGAAAATGTTTATTTCAGAAGGACGCGAGATTGCTGTTAGCCAAACAAAATAACGTATCATAATGAAACATACATGCAATGATATTATAAATATATGAAGCCACGTCTGGTAAAAAAGGGAACGTTGAATCCCATGACTCATGTAGATAGGGTTCCACGCTATATTACTGCATGTTAAACACTTTTGTTAACGAATCATTGCAATAACCTTTTGAGGGACCATTCATGGCTTTTTGTAGGTCAGAATTTCCGAAATATATTCAACAGAATCTGATTTTCAGAGGCAGATAAATGCTTGCCTTTCATCTTGGTTGTCCGACCTTGCTGAACCTTCCTTTTGTATCAATTGATAACTTGTTCTGAAAATGCATACACTAATTGCTGCTAGGCGTTATTTATGCAGCAATCAATAGATCTATGCTTTGTTTTACAGTTAACGTAGTATAAAAATAAGAAGATGTGGTATGATTGCCAGTGAGGCAACTTTCACCAGAGACAAAATTACATATAGGTGACCGTACAGCCTTCTCTTGAAATAGAAATTTCATTAAGGAGAAATATAATTCTGTAATTCCCCCTTTAGATTACAGTTATATCTCCACCGTTTTCTTTATTTATTGTGTCAGTTAATGTTTGTGTCTACATCATATAAAATATTCTTATAATCTTATTTGCTTGCCAGGAATATATAAAAATAATTTGGTGCAAAGTTTAAATTGATTACTTACCATTACATCTGACAAACTGTGACATCAACACATATACATGATATAGTATTACAAATACACTCACACGCATGGCACTTTTCACAATCAGTAAGAAATGCAATCTGAAGAATAACGAATTTCCAAACTAATCTATTCTGCCAATTTCAGATATAAAAAATGTGAACATAAATTTGTTCCGTGCTTTTTTGGATAAAAATACTGCGTAGTATACATTTAGGAATATTCATTTGTAGAAATAATAAGGGATATCTATATTAATATATAAATGAATAAATGGGGAATGTGTCCACGGCACACAGATGATACCCCCGCTTACATATATAAGTTAATCAAAGTGCATGTAAGCACTGAAGGGTAAAAATTGCTTTAATTTATCAGTCAAAGTCAAAATTAAACATTGCATTGTATAAAGCATTGAGTGTAGTTGATTCAACTATAATCATCGACAAAGGAAGATATCTCCAATTTTAATAGTTACTTGATTGATATTTTTAGAAAAAAAATAAAATTTAGCAAATTTTCTATTTGGAAAGAGCACAACACTAGAACAGTAAAAGTGACGACATCAAAATTCGAATTGATCTGTAAATTGTGGTAGTTAGTTTTGTGTATAAGTTTCATAACATTTGGTTGAGGCAAACTTAAGAAAGAGAACGGAAACGAAAAATTTAGCAATTTTTCCATTTGTAAAGGGGTATAACTCTAGAACAGTAAAAGTGACGCCACCAAAATTCAAACTTGATCTGTGTTTTGTGGTAATAAGCATTGTGTATAAGTTTCATAACATTTGATTGAGGCAAACTAAAGTTAGAGAACGGAAACCAATTTTGGGACGTACGTACGTACGTACAGACGGACAAGGGTAAAACTTAATGCCCCCTCCGCTACGACGGGGGCATAAAAATGGGTGAGGATTACTATCAACACAAGTTATCACCCGGGGAGCATTTGGAATAGAATGACCGATGAACGGACACAGTTATTAATACATGTTCCTGAATTTATTTCGGCTATATCAATATATGAAAAAGTTCTAAAAATGTGAATTGACACAATAAATAATTTCACAATTTATATACCATGGAATTTTTTCGACAACTGTCATGCATTTATATGTACATGTGTAAATCAATATAACTTTATTTCAATCATAATCATGAAATAAAAACCTTTGTTTTAGAACTTCTATTTTCATTTTCGATTTCAGTGAACATTTTTAAATTAATTTTCTAACACAGTTTTGATATTGATTAGATTACTACAAAACAGAAAAATCACATGTTCGTTCAATTGTTATGAAGAAAGCAATATCGGGAACAAAGTTTTCAATTGTTCAGCAATTAAATGCTAATAAAATTATATTTATTCATCATAACAGAAGTTCCTTTTGACACTTTGTAACTTTATAAACAACGTTTGATATATCGACTGTTCTTGTTTGAACAAATGTCCTTAACCTTTTATTTCGACAGGAAAATATTGTAATATTTCTTCCATGCTGTGGAAATATTATTTGTGACAATTTCTTCTATTTGAAATTCAATGATTTATGAACCTCTATTCTATCAAAGTTGTAATAGTGTAATAGTGTAATAAGTTTATACACACTGCCATATACAAGTAACTAACTGATATCATTAGTTTTACAGTGTGCTAGGGTCAATAAATTCCATATGGGGCGAGAACTAGAACATTGTGTAACGAATTTATCTTACCGACAACAATCTAATATGGGGAATTTAGATGTTCATGTACATGTACAAATGTAGTTGTAAATGTGTAACAATTATATACACTGACATATATAAATAACTTACTGATATTATTGTATCAAAGAGTTCTTCCTCCTGATCAAAGAAGCGACTGCTGCTGAAGGCGTATAAATATATATAAAACAGAACCGCCTGTAAACAGAGAAATGGAAAATTAAAATTAAAAACGAAAGTTTATGAAATGCAAACTTTAAGAAGTAAAATAATTAAATCGATAAGGGATTTTTTTAATTGTGAAGACATATCTTTTATAAATAATTATAGATAATTTCTTTTTAACGAATGATAAGATATATTTCATTCTAAGAGTTGCCACCGTCATATCTTTAACTTTTAAAAATATCCTAATGTAATTCAATCTACCGCAGAACTCGTAAAACTTTCAAAATAATACATTGAAATATTTCTGAAAAAATCGACTGCAATTGTGCAACGTTCTACCTAAAAACAGCTGTCAACTGTAGTCAGTACAGCTGATGTCATCAAATCAAAAGAAACCAAGAGTTGACGGGATATACAAACATATGATCACCGAGAGTTCTCCCGTTCTGGCAGTAGAACACAGGCACGTCCGGCCATAATGGACGTTAAATTATATGCATTATGTTGACGCTCTCTGCATGATAAAGAAACCTTGCAACAACTCTTTTAGTGGTTCGTAGATGGCCTGTTGCAAGACTAAAGGTCTGTTCCCTATCCAACATACCCATATTCCCAGTGGCAATCCAAGTCATCCGCCCTTCATTCCAATCGACCTAACTTGCAGAACCTTCAATTTGTATCATTTAATAACAGTTTCTCGTCCTGTATGACATTATTGCAAACTGGTTATTAGGCAAGTAATATTCAATCGTTTGAAACGAAAGTGACATTACATGCCTTAATGCAAAATTGAAATATACATTTTTGATTCACCATTATATATTTTCCTGCTTATTGTCTAAAAAAAAAAGAGCACTGATATCATTATAAAAACCAAATAATACATACATGAATTTATATGTTACTTGCTTCAATGTTTTCTTAAATATGAATGATGTAAAAAAAAAAAAAACCCATCTACTTTCGTTTTCATTTTACTTTCGTTTTCATTGTACTTTCGTTTTCATGTAAATATAGATTTTTTTTTCGAAAATACTTATTTCATTGATTTTTATAATCTGACATTTAAAATAATAAACTAGACACTCTTCCGTCCTCATATTTTCTCAAAACCTTTACATAAGGTCATTTAAATGGCCTGAAGGATTTGTAAACAAAAAAAGTTTGATTTCGGAATATTTGATCTTATTGAATCTAAATAGGACTGAATATGGAAGAAAAGGATTGGTTTAATTGAGCGAATAAACTTCGCATCGTGTATCTGATAATACTACAACTGACTTGTTCATTGCGATCTAAATTGATGTTTTTATGACATCCTCTTGGATTGTTTTTTTGTTGTTGTTAGTCAAATTAAAATAATAATAAAAATAATAAAATAATTGAAAGATATGTGTTATTGATGACCTCAATGCATGCAAGCTATACACATTCAACAACATACATTCATATAAAAATCATTCAAAATAGCAACACTTAAGAAAGTCTTCATTTTGTAGATATGAAGTAATATCAGTAGATTTTATTTGTCTTATAAAGTATTGTCACAAAAATGATTGACTCAATGTTTCTTACCATTTATTCAGCCTTACGACATATGTTTCCTGTTATCGTGAATAGTAAATCATTCAATAGCTTGATTGCAGAATGATAAAAATACATCTATTAAAAACAATGTTTTTGGTCTTGGTAAAAAAAAGATTGTTTTAGAGACAGTCTGAGAGTATGTTGTACTGGAAGTGTAAAAAATCAGTATTAATTAGTATTGATAAGTTATGAAATGTAAGTGTAAATCCATTACAATTAAGATATATAAATTGCATGTAACTTTAAAGTCAGATTAAACTTATAATTTAAAAAAAAAGTTGAATATGTATTATATACTTGAATGGCCAAGTTTTACTATAAACAGTGTACGTGAACTATCTTGTATTTTATCAAAATCTTCATTAATATACTGCCATTGAATTATTGTCTTCCCGTTCACAAATTCGCCGATATTTTCCCGTATGCAGTACCTTTAACTTTAGGACCTCTCAGTGGCCGCACTGCACAGTGCAAGTGCGAGGGAAAACCCATGATGAAAGATTGTAAACAAACATGCACTGGAAGGTAAATAGTAATAATTGATTCTTAAAAGAACAAATTAAATACACCAAATCATTTAACAAGTGTTAAGGATAAGTTTGGTTAACAAATCAACAATAACTTAACGAAATATTATTTGTCGATGATACGTTATAGATTCGTAATAAATGTAAGCGCAGCTGGATACGACCGCAGAGGTCAAACCTTGAACAGTTGGGGCAAGTATGGACTCTACATTCAAGCTTGCTACAGCTCTTAATTTGGATTGTGATTAAATATTTTACCCAGAATAGGTTTCTGACACAGAATGAATGTGGTCAAAGAACTGAAAATTTTGAAATTGGACTTTTACTTATTATTGTCCAATATCCAAAACCTAAATACACGATTCAGCATATTCAAGTACATCAAGAATTTAATCTATTTATTGATGGACAAAATTAGCTAAGTCTTTAAAGGGGTTTCCTTCATAAATAGAATAATTTATATAAATCATTCTGCAAATTAATTCATACAGAATAACAAACAAATCTACCACAAAGTTCTTCAAAAAATTTACAAAATTTTTTTTTAAATAAAATGCTTCGCCGAGCGCAGCCTGATACGACCGCAGAGAGTTTGGACACAATATTCATGCTTGATACTGTCTGAATTTGAATTGTGATCAAATTGTTGACATAATATAGGTTTCTGACACAAACTAAATGTGGTCAAAGATCTTAAAAATTTGAAATGGAACATTTAATTTACCTAGTATGGTCTGATATCCAAAATCTAACAAGATGGTTAGATTCAGCATATAAAAAATACCAAAAATTCAATTTTAGTTGAAATCAAACAAAAGTTTAATTTTGAACCCTTCAAACCTTAATATGGACTAATTTGAAAACAGGGCCCAAATAAAAAATCTAAATGCACAATAAGATTCAGCATATCATAGAGCCACAGTAATTCAGTTTTTGCTGAAATCAAACATAGTTTAATTTTGGACCCTTTGGACCTCAATGTAGACCAATTTAAAAATGGGGTCCAATATCCAAAATAGTAATACAAGGTAGGAACCCCCAAAAATTAAAGACTTAATTTAATCCATTAAAATTGGTTAAAAGATTTGTATTTATTTTCAATTGAAGATTTCTTGCTATTGCACAATACTTAGTTAATCTGTTATATTTAATAATTTACACACCTTGTTTGGTGTGTATCTCCTGCCATATCAGTATTTCTTGCTTTTATATATAAATCAGAAATAATCAATGTAAAAATGGAAAATTTTTGGGGGAAAAAAATTATGCAAAAAAAAATACCACTAACTTATTGAACTATGATTCTACTTTCAATTTTTATCAATTGTGCAACACATTTCTGAATTTATATTGTGATTCAATATTTGACATATAGCATAAGTTTCTGACACAAAATGAATGTGGTCTTAGAACATAAAAAATTGAAATTTGACATATTCCTTTTATGGTCCAATGTCCAAAATCTAGATACATGGTTATATTCAGCAAATGAAAGAACCCCGATAATTAAATTTTTGATGAAATCAAATAAAGTTGGATTTTGGACCCTATGGACTGCAATATGGACCAACTTGCAAATTGGGCCCAAAAATCAAAAAATCTAAACATATGCTTAGATTCAGCATATCAAAGAACACAAAGAAATCATTTTTGTTTAAGTTTAATTACTTTGGACCTTAATGTGGACAGTTTGAAAAATAGACCCAAAATCAATAAAAGAACAGAGTTCCAATGTCCCCCGCGTTGCACATATTTTTTTCTATCCAATGTACAAGGGCAATAACTAATTTTTTTACCTTTAATTTTTTTTTATTAATATCTTAAGAGAAAATGAAGGCTTCAGAGCAATTGCAATGTGATTTCCATTATAATCTATATTTCCAAGGGGCATAACTCGTTAAAAATATTTGATCAGAACTTATTTTCGAAAGTGTCAAAGAAATTGCTGATATAAACCTATGATATAAGTTTCATAAAACTTTGGCAAGAATTGAACACATGAGAGCGCTAACATTGCAATTTTCCATATAATCAATATTTTCAAGGAACATAACTCCTTTAAAAATAATTGATCGGCACTGATTTTTGAACTCGTCAAATACATTGAAGATATAAACCTATAATATAAATTTCATAAACATCTGATAAGAATTGTACACATTAGAGCGCTCATAAGGCAATTTTCCATATAATTAACATTTCCAAGGGACATAACTCTTTGAAAAAAATATTGATTGGCACTGATTTTCGAACTCGTCAAAGACATTGCTGATATAAACCTATGATGTAATTTCCATAAAATTCTTACAAGAATTGTACACATGAGAGCGCTAACGATGCAATTTTCAATATAATAAATGTTTCCAAGGGGCATAACGCTTTTAAAAAAAATTGATCGGCACTGATTTTCCAAGACATAGCTGATATAAACCTATGATATATGTTTGATAAAAATCTGGCAAAAATTGTACACGTGAGAACGCTAACGATGCAATTTTCGATATAATTAATGTTTCCAATAGGGGCATAACTCTTTTAAAAAAAATTGAGCAGCACTGAAATTCGAATTCGTCCAAGACATTGCTTATATAAACCTATGATGTAGGTTTCATAAAATTCTGGCAAGAATTGAACACATGAGAGCGCTTACATTGCAATTTTCCATATAATTAATGTATTCAAGGGGCATAACTCTTTTAAAAATAACTGATCAGCACTGATATTTGATCTTGTCAGATACATTGATGATATAAACATATAATATATATTTCATAAAAATCTGGCAAGAATTTAACACATTAGAATGGTCATGAGGCAATTTTCCATACAATTAATATTTCCAAGGGGCATAACCCTTTAAAAAATTATTGATCGGCACTGATTTTCGAACTCTGCCAAGACATTGCTTATTTAAACCTATGGTATAAGTTTCATTATATTCTGACAAGAATTGTACACACGAGAGCGCTAACGATGCAATTTTCAGTATAATTAATGTTTCCAAGAGGCATATCTCTTTTAAAAATAATTGATCGGCACTGAAATTCGACCTCGTCCAAGACATTGATAATATAAACCTATGATATAAGTTACATAAATATCTTGCAAGATTGTACAAATGGAAGCTCTAACGATGCAATTTTCAATATAATTGATGTTTCCAAGGGGCATAACTCTTTTAAAAATAATTGATCGGGACTGATTTTCGAAGTCGTCCAAGATGTTGCTGAATACATAAACCTATGGTATAAGTTTTTCATAAAAATCTGGCGAGAATTATACACGTGAGAGCGCTAACAAGACCAGACGGACGAACGCACAGACGGACGGACGGATGGCCGGTATTTCTATGCCCCATGCGCGGGGGCCATCAAAGAACACGAATCATTCAATTTTTGATGAAATTAAACAAAGTTTAATTTTGGACCCCAATTTAGACCAACTTTGAAAACCGGGCCCAAAATCAAAAATCTAAAATACTGTTAGATTGGGCATATCAAAGAACACCAATAATTCAATTTTGGATGAAATAAAACAAAGTTTAATTTTGGACCTCAATTCGGACCAACTTGAATACAGTGCCCAAAATCAAAAATCTAAATACAAGCTCAGATTCAGCATATCAAAGAACACCAACATTCCAATTGCTTTTTTTAAATCAAACAAAGCTTAATTTTGAACCCTTTGGACCTTAATGTTGACCAATTTGAAAAACAGGCCCCTGTTTTTTGTTCCCTTTTAACTAAACCGTTAGGGACAAACATGTAACTCCTAAAATCAATCCAAAACTTTATTTAATGGTATAACACCTTGTGGCACAATAAAATACCAATCCATAACTTATACTCACAGACAAGTTATTGTCCAGAAACCAGAAAATCCTAGTCTTTTTGCCCTTTTTCGGCCCCTAATTCTCAAACGGTTTGGGCCATAACCCCCAAAATCAATCCCAACCTTCCTTTTGAAGTATGGAACCTTGTGATAAAATTTCATAGAGATTCATAGACTTATACTCGAATTATTGTCTGTGAACCAGAAAAATAATTGTTTTTGTTGGCCCCTTTTTGGCCCCTTATTACTAAACAAAATCAATCCCAACCTTCCTTTTGAAGTATGGAACCTTGTACTAAAAATTCATAGAGAACCATACATATATACTCAAGTTATTGTCGGCGAACCAAAATGCCTTCGGCCGCCGACGCAGACATTGCCATAACATAATACGAAAGCAAAAAATGTTGCGGTCGTATAAAAACGTGCATATAGTTTAGTATATATGCATGCAATGGTTTAATAATTTTGAAACCATTACAATTACAAGAAACTCGTTTTATATAACTTTAAATGATAATCTTGGTAATTAAGAAAACATTAATTTTGAAGGAGCTGGAAATGTAACTTTCTTGTAAACGTAAAGAAAATTTGCTTTTAATCACAGGACAACCCTTTTATTATGCATATGTTCTACCACACTCTGTTATATTTTTTCGGCATTATATAAGCCGAAAAAGTGTACAAACAACACCAATAGTAAACTAGAGCCTAGGTCTATGTGCATCTCCAACATTGTGGACTAGAATAGAATTCATGACAAATAATCACTTTTTTGTTGATCTTACATTCACTACAAACCAGTAAAAGTCTGAAATGGCCTATATCTGTACTCGACTGTTCTGATTTTTTCTCGACCAGTCTGAATTGGTCTGAAATTTACTTGGTATTACTCGATTGTAGTCTGAACCATACTAAACAGTCTGAACTTGTACTCGACCTTTACTTGACCAGTACTTAACCATTTTATACGAGTCTGAACCATACTCAACATAGTCTTAACCATTCTCGACCAAATCTGAACTATGCTCGACCTAGTCTGAACCATATTCGACCAAGTCGTAACGACCCAGACAGACCTATTTTGTGT